GCCCCCTCCAGCCAGGCCCTGCTGGACCCTGCGCTGTCTTCTCCCTGTCACCCGCGGTCGCCTCGGGCGGGGATCCGTGCCCCGAAGCGCTAAGCCTGACGCACCCCCCAGTCGACCCCCCCATCTCCCACCGCCCAGTCCCCGGCAGCGATGAGACAGAGCGGCGCCTCCCAGCCCCTGCTGATCAACATGTACCTGCCAGGTACCAGGGCCAGCCGGGGGCTGGAGGCACCAGGACCCTGGGCGGGGAATCTAAACTAGGACTTGGGAAGGGGTCCTTCGGCCCAAGGGAAGGGGATGCGATCCGGACAGTCAGGTTGCGGGTGGAGGGATGATTGCAGTTTGGGGCCTGCAGGAAAACCCTAAAGGTAGATACGGAGCTCTGGGGTTTCAGGGCAGGGTCTAGAGAACTCCAGGTGAGCAGGCTGGGAGCCTGGGAGGTTGATGCGGGGGCTCAGGAGCCCCAAGGAGCCTGGTCGGGGTCTTCACGCGGTGGAGGACTCTGCTCGGGCCGTGCGTGAGACAGGTCTGCCGGCGTCGCCCCTCTGCCCTTACAGCTCCTCACCTTCGCGCCCCGAGCGTTCGCCGGCCAAGCCCTTCAAGCGCCCTCCTCTGCTCAGCCACGGGCTCTGCTCGCTCAGGCTTGGCTGGCTCAAACCCTGCTTGGCTTTATAAGGCTCCAGCCGGCCCCTTCAGAAAGCGGATTTCCTTTTTCCTGGACGCGTTTCCTGGCGGGCGCTATGGAGGGGCTCTGAGCAGCACGCTTCAGGGCTGGACTCCTGGAGGAGGAGCTGGGTGGCCCGGGCCCCCAGAACACAGCAGCCCCCTAGAGACTTGGCCCAGGGCCCTCTCGGTCAAGCTCACGACTTCCGCCGGGTCTACCTGACTGTTTTCTTCTGCGCCATAGATCCCGTCGGAGACGGTCTCTTCAAGGAAGGGAAAAGCCCGAGCTGGGGGCCACTGAGCCCCGCGGTGCAGAAAGGTGAGCTGGCAGTGCGCTGGGCAGACCGGGATGAAAGCAGTGGGTGGGAGCTGAGGCCTGGACCTTGATAGGAGCCCTGCCACCGGCGCCTGACCAAGAGGGTGTGAGTAGTGTGCACCCCAGGTTCTGGAAAGAAATCTGACTGGAGAGGCCTCTGGGGAAACATCTGTTCAGCCTTTGGCGCTGGCATTTTCTGAGTCCCAGGGAGAGGACCTCACCTCCAGATCTTTTTCTGCTGTGTGTCCGGGCTTTGGGGCCAGGGCTGAGGGTCTTAGCGCCCTTTCCCTGCTGGCAGCAGACACTCAAGGCCACAACATGCAGAGCAAGGGAACCGGGAGAATTACTCCCCTGCCAGGAGGGCTGCCCAATCCGTAAAACCCTGCCGAGCTTCCTGCTTACCCGTGGGAGCCACCTGACTCCTCATCTTTGCCCACCACCTCTGCAGGTAATTGTTGTTGGTGCCCAGGTTGGTGGCTGATGCTCCAAGAGTCCCCAAATTACCCTGCTGTCAGCTGGTGCTCTAGGCAACTGCTTTCCATAGCCCCCACTCTCATCAGTACCCTAGATCTCCCAAGTCACAAGCCACACTCACACACAAAGAGCTTGGCAGAAGGAGGAGGTGATACCCAATGTAATGCAGACAGGTTTCTGAGCCTCTGATGTTGTACAGCATATGCTGGCAGGTGCACGTTTTAACCCAAACCTTCCCTTGCTTCTGACCTTAAGATGCTTGAAAGGATTAGGGTTGAAATCATGGGATAAAGAGGCTTGAGTCAGTGGTTGAATAGGAGAAGGGGTTCACCAGACTCAATGTGACTCAATAATTAGACAAATTTGAGGAAAATCCTTTATTCTAAAAGAGAGTGGGGTAATTGTATCAAGTGTTTGTTCCCTTGAGCTTCAAGACAAGGGGGCAAGAATTCCTTCACTGACTGCATATCTGGGGGAAGATATTCTTGCCACCTCTGGGAATCCCAAAATCCAGAGGGAGATTGAGCACGAACAGGAGGAGGCTAGAATCTAGCACAAATGCTTCTCGGTTTTCTCTCTATCCAGCGCTGTCCATCAGGCACCAGGGAATCTGGGCTCTTCCCTCGTAGGGAATCCCGCCTGGCCCGAAAAGAGGGGCCTCGAGTGCCCTAGCAGGGAGCTGCACCAGTGGGACAGGGAGCCTCTAGGCATTTTCTCCAGCATACAGGGCCTCCGTTCTTCATTCCTGCCTGACAAGGTGTCAGGGACTAGATGGGCTTTGTGCAGTAGCGACTGCAGCCATCCTACTGCACACCTGCCTGACTCTTCCCTTCTGGATCTCTGGACGAAGCCCAGCTGAGATGAGCAGTCCAGTACGGTTCAGTCCTGAACAGGGGCGTCCAGCAAGGAAGGAAGTAGGGTCTGATATGGTAGGGCCCTTGCTCACCTTGGAAAGCCAAGGGCCTTGGTTCTCTGCCACTGCCCACTCCCCTTGGATGAGAGGAAGCTCCTTCTCTCCCCTCAGTTCCGGAGAAACAATGCACCTGAGCTGCTAGGACCTTCAAGTTGGATCCACGCTTCCATTGTGCAGAAGTGGGGCTGGTGACTGCTTTCCTGATCCGCCCCCTCCCCAAGCAGTTGCCCAGCTGCACCACCCACCAGAGGGGCCCTTTCGGGGATCCTCCGCGTCGGGTTGGTTTTCCGCCTCTCCCTTCCCATCTGGCCTCTGGCTGACTGTCCCCTTTCCTGCAGGCAGCGGTCAGATCCAGCTGTGGCAGTTTCTGCTCGAACTGCTGGCCGACCGCGCAAACGCTGGCTGCATCGCGTGGGAAGGCGGCCACGGCGAATTCAAGCTCACGGACCCGGACGAGGTGGCGCGGCGCTGGGGCGAGCGCAAGAGCAAGCCCAACATGAACTATGACAAGCTGAGCCGCGCGCTGCGCTACTACTATGACAAGAACATCATGAGCAAGGTGCACGGCAAGCGCTACGCCTACCGCTTCGACTTC